GGAGATGGGAATTACCTTTAGTTTCCCGATAATGTGAGTGTCCCTTTCTCCGCTGCGATGCTACAAGGTGTGGCTTGCATCTGACCAACTACAGGCAAGAATCCCTTACGGAGGCTACTCTGATGCCAATGGGCAAAGGATTCGCCATCACGTCAGACCTTGACTTGCGCAAGATCCTCCTGAGTGGGTATGAGAAACATACAAGGCGCCTAGATAATGAGTCGGAGCCTTCAAGCAAACGTCGGAAGCTCTTTGAACTCCCAAAACTCAAGATAGCAGCTATCACGAACGATACAGTTGCTACACTTGCTTCCCTTGCTTATGCTGTCAAATCCCTGCCCAATAGTCGAGTCGCTATGGGCATCATTGTGGGTACCGGCTGCAATGCCACAATTCCAATGAATTTGAATATGCTCCATGAGTCCAAGGCGAAGCATGTGAAATCAAAGGACCCGCGGGCGGAGGAGACGGTCGTGAACACCGAATGGACGATCGCGGGTGCCGACCCGCCATTGAAGGAACTCAACATCATAACAAAATGGGATGTGGAACTGGATCGGGCGTGCGCGCGACCCGGATTCCAGCCTTTTGAATACTTGACGGGTGGTCGGTATATTGGAGAGCTCATCCGGCTTATCCTATATGATTATCTTACCAATGTTAGTGGGCTGTCTAAGAAGGTATTGCCCGCGACCCTCATCCAGGAGTATGCCCTGACGACAACTTACGTCTCGGATAATGTTGCCCGTGCTCGGTCGGACCAGGAGCTTGCCGATGAACTTTCACGCTCCATGCCTCCGCCGGAGAACAGCGAGTGGCATTGGGATGCTGTGTCGGCAAACGTATTTCGCAAGATCGCCAGGACGGTTCAGAGACGATCCGCCGGGTTGATAGCCGCAGCGGTTGTGGGTTTGCTTGCTTGTGCGCAGGAGATTGAGCTGAAAGTGGACAGCCACGAAGGTTCGCCGCAGAATGCCAATGTCTCTTTGCCTGAGTACAATGGCACTCCGGATCTGGCCGCCGTAAATACTAGTCTTTCCCCATCATCCTTGGTCCCGGAGGGAGCAAGTCCAAGAGATGGTAGGGTTGTTCCTGTCCTATCTCCCACCCCCACTCCCGCGGACTGGCAGTCAGGCCCTGAGGAGCTGGTCGTGGCGTACACTGGAGGCATCATCCAGCATTACCCCAATTTCAAGGAGACATGCCAGCAATATATTGACAGGCTTATCATGAGGACCGGTCCGCAGAAGAGCGGTAAGTCGGTCTTCTTGCGGGAAGCCTCGGACGGTGGTGTCATTGGTGCTGGTGTCCTTGCAGGAATGGTGGGTAATAGGTGAACATTAGGTAGGGCCCTCATCACACCTTACTGATATCGGAAAATATTGGCGCCTTGATTGCTTGGCGAGCGTTTATTGGAGTCTATGGTTTGTAGTCATGGTATATAGAGCCTACATGCAGGCATGCCCTTTCCAAGCGGATGCTGGCCTGGCCTTGTTTATGCCCCCTCTGGGCCATTATCATACATAGGACGCAGCAGAGATTGACAGACTTTTGACGGGTATCCATCCGACCAAACTAGTATGGTTCTTGACGTGGCCTTCCTGTGCACCGCCCAGTGTTCGTATGGGACAACATTCCTGATGGAGCACAGCGCCGTCCATCATTGTCAGGAGATGCCTAGCACAGCTGGGAGGTTTTACAAGTCGCTCAAATCAGAGCCTGCGGCACTATTTCAGCTAAGCTGGCCAGCAGTCGCCAATGCCTCGACCTGTACTTGGTCTAACAGATTTAATGCATAAAGTAGCCATCGTAGGCTTTGTTCGGCCCTGTCGACACACCACGACGACATAATGGAATGCTCCTTGACGTAGCTCACTTCTCCGGCTCAGATATAGCGGAACATGTTGTTTCGTACGCTGCGCTTCATGGCGCTAGGTTTTCCATCTTCATACTCAATTCCCGAAGCACCACCACCGCCAGACATTTGCTCGAGCCGCTCTCGGAGCTCTTGATCCGCCTGAGCAACGCTTTTGGTTTTGTCTTGCTTGAGCTTCGATGCTGATTGGTCATCGGATGCATCATTCGATTGCCTCTGGTGCGACGAATCTTGAGCTATATTTCGATTAGCCTTGAAAGTGAACAAGACATCCAAATGGAAATCACTATCTTACTGACCTTTTGTTTCTGCGAGTCTGTAAGCGGTCGAAGCTATATACCGTGCTCCGGGAGAAGCGTTTGACAGACGAGCTGTCCGAACAAGCAATGGAGATGATAGCATTGAAGACACATTCATTGTATATACCTAAAACAACCTTTTGGAAGAAAATGTCGAAAACCTGACACTGCTGGTCCCATCCATTGATGTAATGGCTCCTGTCCATCACATGATCTAGATCACGTGCAGATACCCCCCGCGACCAACTGATCGCAATCACCGGCTCCACTTCCACTCTCTTACTCTCCCTTGTCGCCTCACTGCCAACTTCACAATGAGCGCCCAGGCATACTACGAGCTCTATCGCGGGAGCAGGTACGACAGTATCTGCGACTACATGTCAGGAATTATCACTAACCCTGTGTAACAGCCTCGGACTCTCCCTAACCGATACCCTCGATGACCTGATCAACGAAGGACGGATCGAGCCCCAGCTCGCCATGAAGATCCTCTCAACTTTCGATCGCGTGATCACAGAAGTGCTGGCGGACAAAGTGCGCGCTCGTCTGACGTTCAAGGTACGCTTACATATGAGGAAAAGAAAGGCTGCGTTTGAGGGAGATGAAGGAGGCGAATGAAGCTGACATGGCTCTTCTTACCACCACAGGGACACCTCGATACCTACCGATTCTGCGATGAAGTGTGGACATTCCTGATCAAGGATGTTACGTTTAAGCTTGATAACCAGACTACGGTCTCCGCGGATAAGGTGAAGATTGTGAGCTGCAATAGCAAGAGGCCTGGTGAAGCGTAAGGGTGAAGCATATTCGCTTTGCGTCATCGGCTGATGCTCTCGTTACCTCACTTGTTTACCTCGCTTTCTACTCCTTCTGCCACTTATTTTGATAGGCGTTGGTCGTTCGCTTTTTTGCTCTTCATGTGGATGACTCTTTCTGCCAGGGCCATGGCAAGTTGCTCGATATGGGGCTTTATCATATTTTCGGCGTTTCGCGTTAGCATACGAGGCTGTATTATGGATTTGCTATGGTGATACTAGAATCGATTGAAATCAGATACCCGCTACACTATATGAGGCAGACGAGTAGTAGGTTATAGACAGTCGTACTGCTTTGCAGACTACATTCATTGCTCAAATGACCCCAATACAAATCCCACAGAAACAACAGCCTCTTTTCAAATAGACACCCCTCACCCATGTAAAATTAATTATCTACACAACTTATACAGCCAGACAAGCATAACAACATCATGAGGCTGACAAGTGGATCTCCTCCACCTAAAGTAACTTAGATAACTAATCCGTGCGGAGGCGGGGAGAAGCCGCGTATCAGCGGTCGCAAGACACCACCATCGCTCCCTCCAATACACTTTCTCCCTCTTCATTTCGATACATACACTTTCTCACTTATACTCCAATAATGTTTAATCTCCCATAAAGACCACATAAACCATAGACAAAATGCCCCGCAACCTACCATGGCTAACCAACGCAGCGACAACGACAATTAAACGAGAATCAAAGGCCTCTCCATCAGATACACCGCGTCGAACCGTGAAGCGCGAGAGCAGAGCCAAAGAGGAAGAAGAAGATGATGACAACGATGTGACACCAAAAGCCGAGGTGGCGATGACTCCAGGTTCGAGGATGAAGAAGCGCGATTTCATGCGGTCTTGTATGTACCTTACTTCTGACTCTCTTTCTGCAAGTTGAGTAGACTGAGGTCACTGACACCTTGCTATAGCTCCTACGCCGCCTTCCTCTCCTATCCATCGCTGCCCGTCTGAAGAGTACGTGATCATACCATAGCTAGATATTAGAAAAAACGCAGAGGCTGATAAGATGTGAAGATACCTCCGCGAAGGCTTCGATAACGACGACATCTACATGATGGTGGAAGACGAATTCTACGCGGTCGCGCAAACCTTCACACAGCACCTACACTACGCAGAATACGTCCGACGGAAGAAAGAAGCCAAGTTGCAGAATGCCACCACTATACAGAATATCGCTCGACCGACCGATGGCGTTACTGCGCAGAGCGAGGAAGCTAAACGCAAGGCTGCGGCGGAGGATTTGTCCGCTCAGCAGAAGGAGGGGCTGCAGAAGATGGTGGAGGGCGGGAGACCTGCTGTGGATTCGGAAGAGGAGGAGGATGATGATGATCAGGAGGATGATACTTGGGCGGGTACGTCGCTGCATGATCTGCTGATTAGTCCACGAAAGGCGCGGTCGTTGGTCGGCATGCAGGGTATCAAGTCGACGACGCGGGCGGCTGCTGGACTGGGGTCGTCAGCAGGGAGCAGCGCGGTTACCGATGGGGCGGCAAGGGAGCGACAGGATGCGATGAGGGACGGGGATCAACTGGATGAAACGACGGATGACGACGATCTGGACGCACGGACGAGGACCCTGACGGGGCCGAGTCGTGTACAGCATCGTACTGCTACGCCTACGCCTACTACTGCTAGCTTACGAAGCAGCTCGATGAATAATCGGTCTACAGGGGACAGTGGAATCAGAAGAGTGCAGTCTATGAGTGGTAGATACAGTACACCGAGGGCGAACCAATCTAAGAAGAGATTAATATTCGATGATGACTTTGACGGGCTTCCAGAGCCGTCTCGGTCAAGCAATCAGATGCAGGGCCCGATATCATCCCCGTCATCAGGTCGAAGAGCACCAAATCCACGAGGCCCGGATCCAAAGGCAAAGAAATCGCGTCTCAATGAAGTTCCAACATTCTTGTTTTGACGTTGCAGACCGTGAATCACGCTGAGAGGAGAATTTATGATGAGGTTTCCATGCTTGCGTAACGAGATAAACTGTCGATGATGTTGATGTTGATGTTGATGCTGATATGCAACCGGCATGTGCAGCTGGCATCAATTCGATCGGCTCATTGCTCATCGTGGGCATCAGAAACTGGTCTCGCAACCCGGACGCTCAGCCTCCGGACATGCGTCTTGATCTTGTCTCGTGTCGATGGTTGACGTTCCATGGCGGTGGCCGCCGCTTCCTTCTCCTTCTCTAGGGTGGAACCCCGGCTGTGCAAGGTTGCCGCACTGCAGATGGTTAGATGGGTGGCGGAATGGTCAAGACGTGAGAGTACTGACTCGTCATCTGAGAAGAACGCGGGCAATTCCTCTTTCCGAAAGTCGGTTGGGGGTCCCTGAATGCAGACCGCATTAGCATGAGGATAAACATCTTGGGATCAGAAGCAGTTGGACTCACGATCTCCAGCACCTTCTGCTGCTTCTCGCGCCGAAAGGGAGACTTGACAAGTCGAGCTATCTGCCGAAAACACTCCATAGTGACTTCAGGTGTTTGTTGTTCTGGTGGTGGTGATGATGGTTGTGATGATAAAAGCGAGTGTCGTTAGGTGGGAATGAAGGAGAGATCGAGATCGGTCACTATCTACAAGGCAGGGACCGATGCCAATTAAGAAACACAAAAAAGCAAAGATGGTGCTAGTTCAAGCAACAAGCAGATCGATCAACAAAAAGCGAGTGGCTGTCTATCAATCACAATGACGATGATGACGACGATGACGACAATGACTATGTGTGTCAATATGAAACGAGTGACAAAGAGGTATGTAGGGCTTAGTTTAAAACGAGAGGCAACACCGAAACACGAAACACAAGAAGCGAGTGAGCGAGTGAGCGAGCGTGAGGTCAGCAAGTAACTGAGTGAGAACCAAAGGAGGGACTAGTCGGCAGCAGAACAAAAAAAGCTCTTATTTAGCAGCAGCAGGGCATTGGGCGCATCAAGAAAAGAAAAACAATAAAAAGAATACTAAAAAACAAGGAACAGAAGATGAAGAAGTAAGAAGAGGGAAGAGAAGAGAAAGAAAGAAGAAAAAGACCGGTCAGAGAAAACAAGTCTAGATATATGGAGAGACTACGAAACGCCCTGCAGGAGGAGAAGAAGAAGAAAGTTCGATTTCGGCCCTCTTCCCAGTTCGAAATTGGAAACTGAACAAACGGTTTTTCGCCCGTGCGAATCTGAAATGCAGATCGGGTGGAATTCTGTGGCACGACAACTATCTTACGCTATGCTATGCTAGATAGTTACTGGTCCTTGAATATGGGGAGGGGGGAGTAATATCCACACAAATGTGACAGCCTTATGTTATGTGCCGGAAACTGATTGGAAGCATTGCTAGTAAGTTACGCGCCCGCGGGTGACACATTCCCCCCTGGCAGGTCCAGCTCAACTAGTAGGGCGAGTGAGTTTGTTAGTTTTATCCGTCACAGAAGCAAATATGCTGCTCCCTCACTCCCCTTTCTGGCTTAACTGGGGGACGGACTAAAGGAGTGACGCGATATTCTCCGAAGAATTGTTGGGCAATTATACATACTACATACATACATACTTACATTACTTGGTTATACTATACTCTAGTATAGTCTAGGTGGCAACTGAAAAGCCTTACGTATGTACACAACAAAGTAAGCTACATATGCCACATATGTAGGTACCCAAAACAGGGCGCCATACAGCATAGCATGTAAGTAGAGTATGTAACCACCCGCTGCACCGAATGCTGACTGCATGAAACCATGCTATATACATAGCTATACTATAGAATACTACAATAATAATAATTATTATTACACAGTTGTAACTTGTAACTGATGAATTAACTTTTTGCATTCGTCATCCCCATATGGGGGTGAAAGTTGTTGGTAAGTAAGTGGTGGTGGCTTGGATCACCGATCGGCCCCAACTTGGCGGGCTAGACTGGCTGGCTGGCCCCATTTTGTTTGTTTTCTTTTTTTCGGGTTCAGTAACCTAACTATCATCGGGTTACCCAGAATAGAAATACTGCAATGGGAATAATAGTTTGGATATAGTTATAGATACTTTCTTTTACCTACGGAGTAAGTATTATACTAGATAGATAAATAGATAGATGAATAGATGAATAGATACTCCGGGAATAACGTAGGTATGTACATGTATTGTACTCCGTTGCACGGCACATTCTTACTTTTCAATGTATACAGAGTAAAACAAGAATAAAAATAGCCCCCATCCACCCTCTACGGAGTAAGAAAATCATAGAAAGGAGAATAGGTAAGTAAGTAATACTGGGGGGCAAGGGTAATAAGTTATGCATCGAACATTCTAAGAATACTTCCGGCCCCCCGCCCCTTTCTTCCCCCTAAGTTACTCCGTATCTAACTATCCATTGTTAGTTATCCCCTGCTTACAACTACAAACTTAACTACATAACTATCTGTCTTGCTTGTCATGGTTACCAGACCCCGAATACAGGAAGTATATACCCCAGAAAGTCAATCCCACACCCACAACCTAGTATGCCGCTAGACAGGTAAAAAAGAAAGAGATAAAGGGAGACGACAACGACTAGGGATGTACAGTATTGTGGCGATACCGACTACGTAAGTAGTATACTTAGTAACTGCGTACTGTATATACAGTATAAAGGGTACAGGTATCCCTTGCATCAGAACAATGCCGATATTCTTCAGTTTTCGGGCGTCTGTAACTGACTGGTGAGGGATTTGCCGCTGATCCCGCGGGTGAATAGTGTGATAGGTAACGAAGTTAAGCATTCTTGGAGATATTAATTGTACGTAGTATCTATCTGTAGGGGATGAGAGAGAGAGTGGAGTGATGTGGAGTTGAGGAGAGATGGGGAATTCGTTTGAGGTGAGTTTAGTAGTTGAGATGAGATGAGTTGGGATCAAGGGTCTGTTTATTTATCCAGACTTATCTACTGTAGCTGTGTCTATCTAGTGATGAGGTAGATATAATAGCAAGTCGTTATAGTTAGTTATAACTGGATCACTGGTGGTGTGTTTGCCTGAGGCAAATGTTGTTATTATATATCCTAATATGATAACAACAACTCTTTCTATGACTTCGACTTCCCCCAGTTAATTTGTGCATGAGTAAACTCCATTTTTGAAAATACCCTCTTATCACAAATCATTTCCAGTCCTGAAATGAATAATTCTATACAACGCCCCTGTCAACCCATCCCATCCCGAAGAATGCATAACATCACACAAAGAATGCCACAACCCCCCTCGGGCCCATACCACTACTATGCCTAGAACTCCCATCTCAAACCCCATCTTTGCAACAACAATACCTACAAATATCTTATTTCAGCCCCAGAGCTCACAGCCAGCCAGCCAGCCAGCTAGCAGCCAGCCTCCGGCAGTTTCTTCCGTCCATACAGCGAACTTTCTATCTTGGCTAGGGCGAAGGCCACGGTCAGGGTCCTTCATAGTTGGGCGGTACCAGTAGCTTCTCTTCTCGTTATTAACCAACTACATATGTACGGAGTATATTATTAGGTACCGTGCCGTCTGGCTGGCTGGCTGGTTGCTGACTGGTATGTGGTGTTTTCGCGTTGGGTATTGGTGCTATGCTAGTGCTGGTGCTGGTTACTTGGGGGATGGGGATGGGGATGGGGGCCGAATGCAGTTATCCACTTATTGTGTGGCATTGGCATTGCAATCCTCTTGTCGTTTCTCTGAAGGATGTCTAGTGCTTATGTTGAGTTTACGCGATTGTGGGTCTGTCATTGGCATTGGGATTGGGGTTGTAATTATTATTGTCATGGCAGGGTCTATCGATATCGAGGCATCACATCGCATAAAATCAAACAGAAAGCAACAAACGAAAACAATCCCCCTCTATTTGGGATAGTCCTTGATATGATAACTCTTCAACTTAACAAACTGCTCGAACCCAAACCGACTGAGCGTCACTCCACGACCCGAGTTCTTCCATCCCGTCCAAGCCAGATCCTATACTTCCATTAGCACATCTGCATATCATCATCAACATCAACAGCACAAACTCACCGGACTAGGATAATCCGACCGATTAACAAACACCGTCCCAGCCTCAACCCTCTCCATCAACTCCTCCGCAGCCTTAACATCCTTCGTCCACACACTAGCCGTCAACCCAAACTCACTACTATTCATCCACTTCACAGCCTCCTCATCCCCCTCGACCTTCATCACCGGAATCACCGGCCCAAACGTCTCCTCCGTCATAACCCGCATCTCATGCGTAACCCCCGTCAACAACGTAGGCCTAACATAATTCCCCTCCGACGGAGGATTCTCAAACGACTCATTCTCCGGCGTCTCATCCTTCGCCCCCTTCTCCACCGCATCAGCAACATGCGCCTCGATATCCTCCTTCGCGCGCTTCGAAATCACCGGCCCGATCTGCGTCTTCTTATCGAACGGATTCCCGACCACATACCCACTCAGCACCTTCTTCACCTCCGCCACAAACTCCTCGTAGATCCCCTGATGCACGTAGACCCGCTCAATCGCGCAGCAGCTCTGCCCACTATTGAAGATCGCCCCGTCGACAATCTCCCCAGCCGCCCAGGCGACATCGACATCGTCGCGCACATACGCGGGATCTTTACCCCCGAGCTCCAGTCCGACGTTAACGATGCGATCAGAGGCGGCTTTTTGCGTAGCTAGTCCGCCCTCCACGGAGCCCGTAAAACATATATGGTTCACACAGCTCGAGCGAACCAGACTCTCAAGTAACGTCGGAGACCCAGAATGGACATACTGAAGCGCCTTCTCCGGCAGTCCCGCTTCATGGAACGCATTGGCGACTTCCTCCGCGACAGTGGGCGTCTGCGGCGACGGTTTCAGAATCACGGCATTACCTGCCAAAATGGCAGGGATTAAACTGTTCACGAGAACAAGGTAGGGATAGTTCCAGGCGAAGATAATCAAGACGACACCGACAGGCTTGCGCTTAATGTATCGCTTGAAGCCAGTTTCTTCTTCCCCCGGTACGATGCCTTCTTCGCCGAGGACGGAGTCGCTGATGCGGTTCAGGTAGTGGCTGCGCTTGATGGCCGTGGCGACTTCGATTCCTGTGTAGGAGATGGGCCGGCCCATTTGCTCGGTGAGTTGTCTGGCGAGGTCATCTTTTCTTTTCTCGAGTTTTGTGAGGGCGCGGGAGACAATGTCCTGGCGTTGCGCGAGGGTGGTGGTTGTGGAGAAGGATCGGTAGGCTGATTGTGCGGATTCGGCGATGCCCACGATGTCTTCGGGGTTGGCGCCGGTGCGGTTGAGGATGGGTCGGTTGGTTATGGGGGAGATGGTGGTGATGTTGGGGACGGACATTGTGATGTGAAATACGGGTAGTGAGGGGTTATGGGGGACGTGGGGAAGGGAGTTGGGGAAGAGGATGGAGTGGATCATTTATCGGCGACGTCAGGAGGGGGTATGTCGTCATGCTATCGGGAGGTGCCTTAGGGTTACTACGATGAAGTATAGAGCTACATAACATGGTTTGTGATGTAAGGCAGGATTATGTATGCCCGCTTCCGAGGGGCCCGAGTGATGGACATTACACTGTCGATCCGGTGGCGAACTGGTAATTGCTATTGCATGAAGTACCTATACCTACTCTATACTAGATGTTTTTAATCAGACATCCCGCACCAGCCGGGCTCCTGCCCAGGGGTAGGGGTAGTTCCGCTGGTACCAGTTTACACTGAAACATATTAGCTCATGAACTGCTGGCTTGTAGATGGGCGACTTACAAGGTAGTGCGGCCGGCGATCCGTGGATGCGTCGCCCATGACCCTCCGAGGATGACATTGTGCTTTCCGTCGAAGAAGTCGGCTGCTTCTTGATTAGCTTTGTTTGTGTGTGTTTGGCGGCAAGCTTACATGTATATCCGGGGTAGATTTGCATGGCCTCAAACCCGTCATGGGGTGCAAGTTCCGTGCTTGTCCACTCCCAGACGCCTCCCAGCTCTCCATGACCGGCGAGTCGGTCGCCGTTCTGGATGACTGGGGTGGGGTGCCAGTGTTTGAAGCCGACGTTACAGTTGTCGAGCTCAACAAACACCGGCAGAGACTCGCGCGAAGGATGCTGTACCGGTTGGTGGTCGGGAGTGCGAGGCCGTAGGGGGTTGGTCTCGCTATGTCCGTGTCCATTGACTCCGTTGGTATAACTACGACAGTAAGCCCTGTGCAGTCAAGCGAAGCGGTCTACTTACCTATGACCGTTTGAAAGACCGTTACTAGTTTCCTTCAGTCGAGCTGCATGCGCGTAGATACTCTTCGCCTCTTCGAAGCTCGGTATCCTGCAGTCCACCCACTTGGCATACTTTGCCAATTCATCGTACGACGCGATCACCGGCCAGTCCTGGGCCAGCTCGAGCGGGACGGAGCCAAACACGGTGCGAACGGCAAAGTGTGCCATAAAATCGTTCGTAGCGTAACTGCTGCTTTGACTGACACCATTGCATGTCGGGTACGTCTGATCAGACTTAACCAAGACCCAAGACTCTGGCTTCTGAGGCAGATGATTTGCCTGTAGATACTTGGCGTACTCTCCATTGGTAATTGGTCGCGCTTGCGCTTGGAATGCTTTGGCTGTGATCTTTCTCTGGGGCTTTTCGTTATCCCATCCATAAGAGTCACGAGGAACCGAATGACCGTCATCGTCTAGACCAACCAAAAGCGTCTGCTCGGGAATCAAAAACCACTCGTTCGGTCTTGCTTCTTGCCGGGCATCGCGGAATAGCTTTTCAAAATCGGGTTGAGGAACAGCTGGAGGCGAAAGTGTTCTTTCGCTCTGGATTAACATGTAAAGGAACGTTTCCAAATGCATGGCTTCATGCTCGAACCCGATCCAGAGTGCTTCGCCGAGCACTCGATTATCAGCCACATTATGCTTCTCAAAAATGGACCTCACCCTACTACGAACCCGAACTTGATAGTCCAAGATGTCTCCAAGGGCAGGCCATTCATCCGGAATTTCGCTGTGAGAATGGCACTTTTCGGGGTCATCCACATCGGGATCGATTCCGCGTTCGAAAATGAGTCTATATGACTTGGGGTGCGTTGGCTTTTCGCCCAATGCTCGGGTCAAATGAACATCTACTCTTGTCAACATGTCTGTTACGCCTGGTTCCTGAAAGGCAAAAAAATACTGACCGAGAAAAGTAGGAATATGCCCAAGATAGAAAACCAAAGCATTTCGCAATTTGATTGGCTTCGAAAGAAGTTCCTCTCTGGGAACCATGGCCTTGGTGACAATATCCCATGCCGTCCACAGAGACTGGAACTCCTCAAAGCTCGGCACAGATTGAGCCGCATATTGTGACGGGCTCGTTGGGAAGTTGAGGGTAGCCGAAGACAGCACGTGGATAACTGCCCGACAGATTATGTTAGTATAACGGTCTCAACAGTGTAACATGCTGTGCACAATGCAGTGCAACATGAGCAGTCGTAGCACATTACCAAAGGATGACGTACGGTAATCCCCAGACTCATTGCCAAATTCAGCGTCCTCAATTAAACCCGCATCATGCCATAGCTGATCGCACTGCTCGGGGGCATATTTGAATGCCTCCTCGAAAATTAACTTCTCGCCTTTATGGAGCAGTACCCCGTTTATAGTCACGTCCCGCTTTGGCGCGTAGAATGCCTGGTGCCGCCCTTCGACATTATCGTACTCCGTCACGATGTCCCATTCATCGAGCTTGAATGCTTCGTATCCAAGCACAGCGTTCGCATGCAACAACCCGTTCTCGTAGAATTGCCGCGTGATACCCTTGGAATCATTGTATGCCTTGTACACTTTCTCCGAGTCGGTGCAACTATCCAACCCAAGCACCATCAAGTCCGACGGCCCCAAAAGCCTGGCAAATTGCGACAAGAATTTCGCCGCCGCAGGACGATCGAAATTTCCTATTGACGAACCCATTGACATGATCACCGTTGGGACCTTACGATTCGCGGGGTTTTCCAGCCAGGTAAGGGCGTCGTCGTACGTGCCATGGAGGCCATGGAGCTCGACATATTGATATTGATCGAGGGACACTTCCGAGAATGTGCGCTCCAACTCCGAGAGCGACAGATCCAACGCATAGTAGTCCACTCTTTTGCTCGCCGCTTCGAATTCCTGGAGAAGAATCTCAATCTTGCGCAGATTGCTACTATATGTTAGAATTCTGTATCCGTACCCTAGAATCTATACATGCTCCAAGTGGAAGGAAGACGCACCCACTACCTAGCTCCAGTAATTGCGCATTGTCCGGGATGCGTTCCACGATCCTCTTCGCATGTGTTCGTAGAACGTCAATCTCCGCGTTTGTGAGATAATATTCCTCCAGGTACGTAATGTCCTCGAACAGCTTGAGCCCCTGAGCATCGTACAGAAGCATCGTGGGCATGGAACGGCAATTTCCTGCCGGAGGATCTATACCTCTCTGGATATCATTTACCAAGGAAAACTTCACGTCATTCTGACGGATATCGACGATGTCAACGCCTTTGACGACCGGACATAAGGGTGACATTTTTGGTGAGCACGGAACTCTAGCAACAATAAAACAAGTAGAAAAGCAACAGCTATACAAGCCACTTCAGAATAAAAAAAGTACAAGTTTAAGGGTAAGCCACAGAGCTTATATTATTGTATGCGCGCGCAATCCGCGGATGGTATCGGGGGGGTTAATGAGGGGTAGATGAGGAGAAGCGCCCAGTCCTTGCAGCGAGGGTATGCAAGATTGATCATCTACGAGTAGATCCACCACTGGATAAATAGCTCGACAGGTCAGACTCGAAGTTGGCGTGGGGTGTATCAGAGAGACCAGTATCACGCTGCTCGTCCCACCTCTCTCAAGTAGCGGCTGTTCCTGCACTATCGAGGGAAGCGGGCCCTTGCAAACAGCCCACCATGACTGACTGGGTCATCGAGATGGTCTGGACACCCTCCGCATGGTGTAAGCTCAGGGCGATTTGTCCCACCGCAGGCCGGAAATTACCGATGAGGCCGTCCTGCACGTCAATCAGACCATACTGGGCAGGGTACACATTCCGGTGGGATGGCTTGGGAACCCACCATCCGGGTTACTTTCCAAGAAACGACCAGGTGTCACAGCGATCCAATGGATGAAGCACTGCAGGCTAGTGACGCATGCGGAAATGAGGTCCAAACGCTGAGGGCCAGAAGGAAGGGCCGACACGAGCATGACGTTGAGTTTGCATTGGTTGCATTGGTTTGCATGACTTACTTTTGAAGCGGGGATTACCGTGTTGGGTACTGTTTGTGCTGTTTCGATACCCCACCTCAGTTTGTCTGGTTTGGTTTACTGCTGTTGCCTGTTTGAGGCAGTTTGTCATCACGGGACGGGCATTTCCCAACCACCATTTTATACATCCATCAGGCTTGTCTGATTGGCATTGGACACATCCCCCCTTCAATCCGTATCGCATGGAATATGCCTCAGTGGAGCTCGTATTGACTAGTGCTTGAGTAAGATCAGTGGTGAGCTAGGGTCAGAAACAAGCAACGAAGATTCATCAGCACTACGGTAGCAGTCATAAAAGTTACTCAGCATATCCGCGTGAGTCCGATCAGTGACGGACGAACCCTCTCAGGCACATTAGTGTAGCTGCTTATTCATTACGATTGGTTAGGGCTGATCAGCTGCCGAGACAAGATCAGGAGAGGGATTCCGCCGGGTGAACAAAGGATAACAAAAGACATCTCAAATAGTTTATGATCAGATGGATGTATAGCGGCGGCCAAAAGCATTACATATACGAGCATCGGTAGTACTTCGGGATATCTCCGTTGATCACCAAAGAGCACAGTTTTAACCTGAACCCGTATCCAACGCGTTTAGCAAGTCCAGTGAAACAATCTCTAATGGAATGGTTGTCGATGTACTTTTCAGCAGTGAAATACCGTAGACTATTAGTGGGCATTAAAACACCAAAGATATAAATAAACCCAGGACAACCCAGGACCCTGTGTTGGAAGTTCAATAAATTGAGCACCACTTTTAACATGCCACAAAATGTCACCAAGCAGGCGCTATTACTCGCAAATGCGGGACGCCGCCTTGAACATCAGAGCAGACAGCGACGACGAGTATGCACATTCAGATATGGACGCCCGCGAAGACGAGGCATTGTGTATACTCATGGAAGCAAACTACAACGAGGGTGCTTCGTATGATCAAAGCTCCACTGACCAATTTGCACACGATGACGAGGACCCTTTATGGCGAACCCAGGCTGATAATTTATTCAGCGGGAATGACAGCGAGGGTGCAGATGAGGGAGAGCATGCCTCGTTACAAATTCAACTCCCTGATCCTGACAGCCAGGGCGAACACGTTGACTACTCACCACCACCTCCATCTCCCTGGTTACCATCTAAGAAGTACCCACACAAAGAAAAGTACGCCAAACCAGCACTTAAAGACAAGCCAGGTGGCGAATCACTCGACAAAATCATATCCTACTGTGATATGGTCGTCGACATGAGCAATATCAGGTCCGCTCTTCGAAGCGTAGAGCTCTACCTTGGAAAAGGCCAAACCCGGGAGGCTGAATCCGAGGCCCAGAAGGCTCGGGATTTGGCAGAAAAGTATGACGACAAACCAGTGCTCGCACGGTGCAGGTACTGGCAGGCTCGGGTGAAGTTTGCCCAAGGAAACTATGATGAGGCGTACGATTTGTTCAGCAAATGCCAATTATGGATCACCAAGCAACCTGAGGCTAGCACAATGGCGTTTTACCTGCCACTCTGTCAGCCGGGCTTGAGCGACCTAGAGCGACAGCGTATGCTGGAGGACGCTCAAAGACGTGCAATGCAACCAGAGAAGATGCAAGCGGTTATTGAAGTGCCAGACAACCGAGACTCGAAACGAAGATGGGAGGATAGCCTTCACTTGTTGTCGCAAGATACCATCCCACAGCCCATGCGTCGGCGGAGAATAGCCCGCCCCAAGTCCTTGCTCGAGAGGCAACCGGAAGATTCCAGTGGACTGAAACTTGGTGGGAAGCAAAAGGTTTTCACTTTCGAGATGCACCCCAAGGGCATGGCAACCAGATTCCGGCCGACAGATATTTTCTCCGAACAGCCTTATGAGGTCATTGTGCCGCAAGAACAATGGGAGGATTTCATTGACTATCACAGGGACCAGAGCGTCACGTTGACTTATCTGGAGAGGGAGAGACGACGGTACCAAACCGTCGTCCAAGAGAGGTATAATCAGCGCTAACCCGCTGCGTGCTGGTCTGCCTTTTTGGCAAGAGAACATCCGATTTGGTGAGGTTGTGGGATACTGTTGGAGTAATGGTCTTTCATATTGTTTATATATAAGGCTTCTTTCATACCGTTTTCTGCACCTGCCCGACTAGCGAGTGTCACATGCATATCTCCTTCTTTTCCTTCCTACCTATCACATATACCCATTATTTGATATAGTTTAACTCAGTTAAAGTCATAAGAATCGTTTCAAAGCATTGCGATCATAGATACGCCTCAAGCCTTCAATAGCTACCACAAAGCCAAGTCAGCAATGTTCAGACCCCAAGCCCAGCTTGCAGCGCCCATAGCCCCAACACTCATCGTAAAGGCCATCAGAAGATTGACGGCGTTGTTATCTAAGAGGTCCCGTCCACTTTCTACCCGCCGGCTTTCGTGTCCCGATTCAGTTTCTCCTGCGGATGTTCCCGTCGATGTTCCAGTAGCCCTGGTTCCTTTCAGAGTGGCGGTGTTAGCTACTGCCTCGGTGGCGTGTACCTGCGCACTCGAGCTTGACCCAGCAGGCTTCAGACCGGTGGTATCAGCTGGGACACCGGGCTTAGTAGAAGAGGGGTGAACAAGGACCTGCAAGACAATATCAGTACTAAACTCTTCTAACGATCCGGTAGATGCTAAGCATGTACTGACCTTCTGACCACCAGCTCCTTCGACCACCTTTCCTGTTCTCTTGTCCACCACGCTAGCCTGCAGCAATCCACCCAAGACACTATCCAGCACACTGCCCAAACCTCCCCACAGTGTCACGGCCAAAATCCACTGGGCCCGGCTCTTGAGCATCGACAGAGTATCGGCTTCGGCGCAGAAAGGTAGGATAGCAGCGGACGACACAGCAATTGTAAAAGCACCCAGCACTCCTGCTAGGAGTCCAGTTCCAGTTACACCGCCATTGGTACCGGGAGGAACGACGCGGAACGTGGGGGAGGTGATCAGGCGGGGTTTGGACTTGGATAGGATACCAAGCTCGGAGGAGTATGTATCAGCGGCGACAGCGGCGTAGTTCCTACAATGAGGACCTGTTAGTACGCGCATAAGAAAGGTTTAGGAATAGGGATAGGCCTTACGCGACAATTCCCACGACCAACAAATCCGCCACATCATGACCATTCGAAAAGCACTGTGTTGCGCTTGCAGGCTTCCCTGCAAGCACATATGTATGAAGGAGAGCAAGCACTGTAGCGACAACAGAGTTCGCCAGGACCTGGATGTGGGTACGCTGGCCCTCGCCGCCCTCGGAGCCGGTCGCGGAGAGCGTCAAACGAGCTTTAACATCGTGTTTAACCTGGCAAGTACGTGATCAACAGTTACAAACCGCAGATCGAAGATGTGAGCAAGGGATATATACCTTGGTAACTTTGGTGCCCCCAAAGTAGAATACTCCTAACAAGACGAAAGGAGCGTACCATGGATGAAGAGCATGGGCGCTGGCTGTCAGCGCAGCCGCAATGAGGCCGGGGGTGGTCAGCGACTTTCGCGACCAGGCACGATGAACGAGCACTATTACCGCTGGAATACCGATGTATGGTTTCATGGTGAATGCAGGTAGTGACAGCAGGGAAAAAAACAGGTAGGTTTGACAGGGAAAGGTCGGGGAGAAGAGCTTCGCGTTATCTTAGCTTGATCTTTTAGCGCGGGTAGCTCCGATAGGGACCAGGTGACCATCCGCGGGTTGATGTGGGTGATCGGCAAACACAAAGCTGGATGACTGTATGATGCACATGGATGGAAACAGAAGGCAAATCCAATATTGAAATTATTTCAATGGCATCTTCCTTTTCGCCCTTTGAGCTGTATACATTGTTCCGTTTCAATCTCAGTGGCAGTGGAGCCCAAAATCGATCGATGGATTGATTCTAGCTGATTTACCCCACAAATATACCGCCACTCATACATCCCCCTAGATTAGCTCATTTGCTCATTATGAAAGGAATGTTCACTGAACTTACACTAAGGTTAAGCTTCTGTTTTTCTTAGTTTGGTACTAAGCTTGCTCGATGGAGATGTCAAGACCATGGGAGCATTGCTTAACCATGGCTTCTGCCTGACACATGTGCGCGCAGCTGCAAGCGCCGACCCCGCCTGGCCAGCTCCATCCCCTTCACTTCACACTCCCAACCACTTGTTCTCTTCTCTATCACTCAGTGTACAATCAGGGAAAGCTTTCTGCTTCGTTATCCATCACTTTTATCGTTTGGCATCATAAACATGGCTATTGTCTACGGATTGCCGACGGTGGCTTCCACGGTAGCAGCAGCGGTATGAGCAAGTTCACTACCTTCTAAGAAACCAAACTGACGAGTCATCATTTATCTAATTAGTTTGCAATTATCGCTATCATACTTGGAGCGTAAGTGACTTTCTCACTCTTGCCATGGAGGTATGCCGTCCAGGATCAAGCTCATTCATCTCGTCAGGCTGTCCTGGTCTCGTACAGCTTCACTTTACCTTCCCCTTCCTGAATGGGTTCCAGTCATCGCCACCCTCTTCCCTCCTCTTACAGCACTGGCACTATATCTTGCCAATCAACTCGCCCAGCCAGCTGCAGATAACCGCCAGTCATCTAGCCCTTGGCGACGACTCTTTCCCGTCATCAACCACCTCCAATCCATCATAACCACAGTCATCGCCACCGTGGCCCTCGCCTATCTGTACCCAGAGAGCATCACCACTTGCCGACTAGAGCAAGAATGGCAGTCATACTTCCGCGCGAAAGATGCTCAACCGATCCGTGCTATTCAGGACGAATTCCGCTGCTGCGGATTCCGGAGTATCCATGACCGAGCGTGGCCGTTCAAGGATAAGACCACAGGGGATGATGCTTGTGAGGTACAATTCAATTACGGGACAAGCTGTCTGGTCCCGTGGAGACAGCAGCAGCAGAGTGCTTCATGGATGGTTTTTGCAGCTGCTATTTTGACGCTACTCATGAAGGTCTGTGTATGTGCGTCGTTATAGGTGATTCCTTACTAAGGCAGCTACAGGTTGCATTATATCAAGCCCTGCGTCAGCGACCGAGCTGGATGACAATGCAGTTTGGCAGACAGGCACGCAGTCAGCAGCGGATCACGCACGCTGCGCTGGAGGACGAAGACGCCACTGATGACGCGGAGGAGGGGCAGCGGGGAGCGTTCCTGCCTCGTGCGGGTCCAAGGTTTGACAATGAGTGGAATGATCGGTAGATCGATGTTCTGTGGGCTGACTGGTCCATCATTGCAATCAATCACAGGGTTGTTTGCAGCTTGGTAGCTGAGTTTCCTACCATACACGCACTATGCAACTAAGATGGACCGGTACTGGTACGAGCAGTGACACAACCAACGGGAAGGATCTAGTGTATTACATTCGCAGTCGTCTTTTTCAAACTCGAAACAGGTTACGACTAGTCGTAGAGACACATACATTACTTAATTACTCTGCGTATCATACAGATATGCTTGGCTTGCTTCTCGCAATTGAGGTCATCCGGTCCTTATCGGCGTCCCTGTTTCTCTAAAGGCGGGTCGAAGGGCGCCTCAACAGGCGTAGATAAAGGGCAGAGGGAAATCGGGGGCCAGTACCTTCACGAAGGACACCCCAGCCGAGCCTCTGCTTGTATTTCCCTTATTGCAGCGGCATGGAGACAGATAATGCGAGTGACGACTTCTCAGCCGCCAAGTAGAACGACTGCCCAGCCATTGACTTTCGGCCGGCAAAACGATGGGGGGGCAAGCAAGCAGCATGTATGGTCCGTTATCAACGAAGGTGCCGAGGCCTCTCGCATCAAGCCATGCGTAAACATCAGTCAGGGCTATTTGTGAACTACCCCTCATTGCATTTTGCGTTGTGACCGTCTTGTTAACGATGGCAGGTGAAGTGGATGGAACCCTCCGGAGTTCATCCGTGAAGCGGCTAAGCAGGCCCTGGGCCGCTTCGAGTGCAACAAACATGCTCCAACCAAGGGTCGCTCGCCGCTTCGGGAGGCCATATCCAAGACATACACTCCCCTTTGGGGTCGACGCATAAACCCCGAAACCGAGGTAGTTGTGACCACAGGGGCAAACGAAGGTATAGTACTAGCCCTCGAAGCATCGGAATGTTATGTTTCCTGTCGATCGTGACTAACCTGACATAGGAATGCTTAATGTATGGATGGCTTTTCTGAATCCGGGTGATGAAGTTATCCTTTTTGAGCCCTACTTTGACCAGTAAGTTGACGCCCCATCGCCCTCGTTCTCGGACGGTCTACTATGTACTTCCATCTAGTGGAGTATCGGCAGGGATCATTGAAGGTCGACGGGCAAGACCTGGCACATCTCCCACGATCGGAGCTCCGCCAGTCCTTGAATATCATCACCCAGGAGCCGTTCTGCGTACATTCGGAGACTGTACGCTTCAATCTGGACCCATGGGAGGCGACCAGCCAGGATGATACGATTCTCATTGGGTCGCTAGAGAAGTGTCAGCTCTGGTCGGTTATTGAGGCCAAGGGCGGATTGAATGCAATCTTGAAGACAGATTTCTTCAGCCAAGGGCAGTGGCAGCTTTTCTGCCTGCGGCGGGCCATACTACGGAAGAGCAGGCTTGTGGTGTTGGACGAGGTTTCATCGAGGTAAGTAGAAGTAGAGAAAGGGAGTTTTGGTCCATTATTAGAGGGCTAACAAGAGGGCTACCGTGGCAGTGTTGATATCGAGACGGATCGTCGAATATGAATGAAGCTGCTGGAGAAGCAAGCCACGGACTCTGGGTGGGGAGAACATTTCAGTCAAAGCATTCCGTAATCATAGAAGTACAGAGATAAATAGAGGAGATAATAATCTAACTAAAAATATTCTAGGAAATAATAAGATTTATATATGAATACTTTCTAAATGACAGTACTCAAAATTTATAGAAAGTAATAATCTTAGTAGTAGAATAAAACCTACGTACTAATAACTCTCTTAGAGTGGATATACCTAACAATTAGTATATTTCCCATGCCTCACCATGTGACCTCTCCGCAGAAGTCACGTGATCTATTCCGGTTGTTTGTTTGTTGTCTGTTTGTTTTAATACTTTACTCTGTTTCGGCGCCTTGCGGGCCACGTCGGAGGTCCTAGCTACTGATCACATGAAAAAGATAAAATATAAAATATATTCTGTTCGAGTTAGTCGAAAAAAGTTGAATAAATAAAAAGAAATCAATATATTGAAGATAAGATAATAAGCCAAGAATAGAGAATGGACTTGCAAGCAGCTGGCTCGCTGTAATATTTATTCATATTAATATTATATAACTATACTCTTTTCTTTTCTTAAGAAAAAAAAAACTAACTATATTCGGCTATAGTATTAACCTTCCTTTACTGCAAGTTTTACAAGATTCGAAAGCATTTGAGTTCATATTCTTACTTCAAATAGTGAAGTACCTGCATAGCTAGTATCTAACTACACCCGCTCAATCGGGTATAGGGCTATGAACTGAATTGAATTGAAATTGAACGCCCCATCGGCTCGGCCCGAATTCTCACTCTTTAAATGGTTTAAACCATCTACCAAGTGCCAGAGTTGGACATGTTACAACGTGTTCCCCGCGATGGGCTCCAAAACCCTAGGCCGCCTGAAGAAATACTCACCGCGGTCTCGTACAGGGTGCCGGACGTGTCGTGCACGACGGATTAAATGCGACGAGACACCAGGACCATCATGCAAGAACTGCACGTCGACAGGTCGTACTTGCGACCGATCCCCGCAGTTTCAGCTCCCCATAAAAGTGCGCCTTCGACACCTTAGTCACCTGCACAACTACATTTCCACCAACCTGCCCGGTATGACAGCCGACGAGCGCCGCTGTCTCGCCTTATTTCAGACATATACGATGCCCATGCTGACCGGGTTGTGCGACTCGGAACTCTGGCAACGGCTCGTGCTACAGATGAGTCAGATGGAGCCGGCAGTTGGACACGCCGTCGCAGCGCTGGGCGCATTCCACGAAACTACGACTGTGGGTGTAGCTGGTATGAACAACGATTATCAGCTCTTTGCGCTGGAGCAATACGGGCGCGCGATTGGAGTGCTTCGCCGCCGTCTTGCATCCGGGTCCGGGGATCCCCAGCTACGGATTACAGCGTTGGTGTGTTGTGTGATCTTTGTGGTGCTAGAGTTATTGCAAGATAATTACGGAAACGTATTGATGCATCTGAGAAATGGGATATACATCCTTATGAATGAGACTGGCCCGAAAGCGAGGGAAGCAATTTTCAGATCCTCCCTTCCCGCTGGTCCGAAAAATGATAGTGAGCGAGAAGAGGACGCGGTTTTCACGCATATGTTTGCGCAGTTGACGGTCCAGGCAGCGCATTTCAGCGAGGATTCAGTGATGAGGTTGCAACCATTGGATGCGCATCTCTCCACGGTGCATTACGACAGTATAGAAATTCGCAGTCTAATTGAGGCAAAGGAGACGTTGGACCCGTTGATTGATAGCATGGTGCGCTTCTGGACGCGCTGCGAAGCAGAGCTTCGAGATCGCTCTGCAGATCATTATCCTCTCTATGTCGAGCAACAACGGCAATACAGTAACATACAACGCCATATCAACGCCTTTGAGACATACGTGTCCCGAGCCCAACACTACTCACCCAAGGAAACTCGAGCTATCGATACAATCCGCGTCAGTCACATCGTCATGAGTACCTATATCGCCACCTTCATGGATCTCACCGAGACCATCTACGACCGATTCCTGGCACGATGGACCCGAGCCGTAATTTTGGCAGAGCAGATTGTCGCCAGTCTTCAAACGGAATACGCCCACAAGCAACAGCCACTTCCCAACGTCATCTCCGATATAGGGGTTTTCGTCCCACTGTTTTCGGTGGGGATCAAGTGCCGCGATGTTGATATCCGAGAGCGTGTGTTGAGGTTGTTCCGCGCATGGCCGCATCGCGAAGGACTACATGACTCGATGGCATACTTATACATGGTGCGGGAGATAGTGAAGATAGAAGGGGAGGCAGCCGATGCTGATGGGCATGTGCCGGAGAAGGCGAGGGTGCGAACGATGATGTATGAGAAGGTTGGAGATGGAAAGCATGCGGTGCTACACTACGCGTTATCGGACCCAGAGGCGAAAGAGTTGATAATGAGGAAGAGAGTTTTTTTAATGGATGAAGTGATATAATTATCTATTGTCTCTGCGTAGTCGGGGCCTTGATTCTGATAACTTACTCTCAATAACCAGAATTAGATCATCCAGGAAGGAATGTATTTTGTAGGATATATTAACAGCGAGTGTCTCATATATACAGTTAATAGTATCAGGGTACAAGTCACTATATATCAATTAACATCGGTGACTTCTCGTTGGTTGCTATCTGAGAACTGGGATGTACATCCTTATGAATGAGAATGGCCCGAAAGCGAGGGAAGCAAATATTCAGTTATCTTATCACCTCCCAAACAACTTATGGTATCCCCATAAAAACAAGACGACCCATCTGAACCAATCGCGCACTGTCGAAAATGACGTTCGTTTCAAGGGCAACAGCCGGACGACCGACCAAACGATCGAAGTCCAGGATTAATGGGCCGCCTTGGACAGAAGGGAGAGTTGTCCTCATGTCTATCACAGTAGTGGTCACGAGTCGCTTCACATAGATCACGCCGGCGACGGTTTGGGCTCGAGTGCTGGGTCCTTGTCTGATCTGCGGGAAGTACTTCTCTATCGTAATTTTCTTCGCCGCGCGGTCAACTCTAACTAGCAAGGCCAAGAGGACTTGTCCACCGGAGTTTTCGATCCACCAACTTATGTCTTGACGCAGCCGACGGAGTGATTCAGACAGGCCAGTTTCAATGATCCAGTTGGGCCAGTCACTATCTTCGTTGGGTCTCAAAAGACTAAGAGAAGTTTTGAACACAACGTTGGATTCGTCGGTCAACATAGGGATGAACCTCCAGTTTAGAGAGAGCTACCAAAGCCTGTTGGCATTCATCATCTTCCTCAGATCTGGGATGGTGCTGTGAGATGCCGGGAGAAGGAAGACGGTGACCAAGTCGAAAAGCAGCTTTAGTAGATTGGATTGCCTCCACTGTGGTTTTTTACTCTAAGAGTCACCAGTGAGAGAGGAGGAGGCCAGGTCTGGCACAGGGCCATTGACAAACGTATGCTCATGGCATATCACGATTTTGATCGCCAGGTATAAGTGAAAGGGAGTCTGTTAAGTAAGATTTAGTCTCAGACTTGTGTCCCTGGTTCGTAGCGTCAACCATATCCAATTTAATACTAGAAAGACCTCGCCTCCTGAGTTGCTTATCTACCAATCCACCGTCTTCTCACAATCAAAGGAGTGATTCTGACAGCCCGCATTCTATTTCCCAGTGGGGCCAGTCTCCTTCTTTAGCCGATTTGGAAGTTGTGGATATCTTGTATGATAGGACCTGATTTATATATATCTCTCTCAGGCGAGCCCAGAAGGCCGAGATCTCTATCTTGCAATGGTTGAGACTTCTGTAAGTATGAGTGTCCTGTTAGTATCGTTTAACCCAAGTCCAAACTAATGTTAGGAAGACCTCGCTCCCCGTGTTTCCTATCTACCAATCCACGTCTTCTCACTATTGCGAAATGACTCTGATGGCCCACATTCCTCCCCCAATGTGGCCATTCCAGCTGGTCACTTGGACTCAATGCTTCATTTTTGTATGTAGAATCAGCCTCTTTCTGTGATTAGTAAAATCGAGTGTCTTGAGGAGCATTACCTTCTATAAAGATAACAAGCACAACATATACATCACCGCTTCTGATCATCCTGTCTTGATATCCTAGAGGGGTTAATTGACGTCGCTTCGACTCAGTGGCCAGCTTTGAACGCAATGTCTCCTTTTTTGGTGGACTAGGAGAACAGCACCGCTGCTTCAAATTTGCAGTTCCTAACGATTCTTTTCTATTGATCTGAAGCATATATTCCCAGACGACAGTCGGTTTGTCCTTGCCAATCATGTGTGCTGCTGTCCCAAAGGCCCACACTGAGTCATTTTGATTAGAGTGTTGATTTTCGCGAAGTACGTAAATACAACGGGCTTTATTTACCAAGAATTTTCGGTCATTTCGAAGTTCTATGGCATGCTCAAAAGAAAATGAATGGCTCGTGTAGCTGTTGTCGATTTGCTGGAGAAGATGGCACCCATAGGGAGATAAAGATTGTTTGTATACTTGGAGTCCTTGATATGCGAGGATGGATACCGTAGGATCTAAACCCATAAAATTTTGAACGTTCAGTGAGAAACAGGCCACTATGGTCTCTTCCATACCCCCAAGCTATCTTATTAACATATCGCCGACGATATACCGTCCCCTCACCACATCCCCTACCCTATATCATAGCCTCCTGGGCCTCAAGCTCGCGGGTTCCATTCGCTAAGGACTCTCAAGTCAATTGCCATGTAGCCGAGGAGCTGTGCTGGGCTATGCTCTGTCCTTTTTGATCTGGTCTGATTGTAGTCGGTCTCCTGGATGACATAGAGCCTAGGGACAGGAGTTTCACGATGATTGTCTTACTCGGGTTTGTGTATTCACAACCTGTGTCATCTAGCTTTCTCCAATTCTGTGCGAGAATATCATGGCGTCTTGTTCAGCCATCACGGGTAATTGATACTCACATCCGGCACTCTGGAGATGTATGTTTGATACCATGCCGGAACTTTTCTTCTGGTAGCTCCAAGTCACCGGCCCTTCTCAGCGCATCATCGGTATAGGCGTTATATTGTCGCCCATTTTTAAGATCGGCGACAAGGTGAGTCTTGTTGAGGACCAATTTGAGACCGGTACCCTCCACCATGTGCGTGATTTCGTTGAAGAAGGACTAGAAGTGCCGCGTTTGGCGCTGCCTCGTCTTCGGCATCGCTGAACTCCTCCACCTCTTAGTTCTGGGACTGGGCTTTGCTTGGTATTGTGGGGATAATCTGGATGAACAGTATATGAATGGCTAAAGCAGCCGCATATCAACGAGGAAGGATGAACTTCCCGATATATTCATTTAAATGATGTCTATCATAACTCGGGATATATTATAGATATAGTAGATAAAGGCTTTTCTACATTTGTAAGGCATCATAGGGAGGAAGTTGAAGAAGAGAACGATGAAGATGGGTGGCAGACGTAGCTTTTATAGACAAGTAGAGAAAGTTATTGAGAGGATAGTGCTGGGGTACTTCACAGGATGATTTCACTATATTCATCTAGAGTCCCTTTAACTGGTATGCTTCAATGAAGTGTCTCCTTTACTGCTCAATGAGATATCCCCTGATTGAATCGACTAAACGCAATTTACCAAGGATCTGTGAATCGGTCTATTGACTCGGAGCGACCATGAAAATGGTGACAATAATACCCTTCACCTTACTGACTCAACTGGCGTTCTTCTTCCCCAATCCCCCGATTTTCACAACCTCGACCAACCTAAGGCATTCCTCGAAAAACACCCCTCGCTATTGCCAGCAGCGCAGTAGAATCAAAAACTACATCCCGCTCTCGATTAACAGCAGGCCGTCCGACGATTTTCTCAAACTCCAGGATTAGCGGGGCACCCTGGACGGAGGGGGGGTTGGCCTTCATGTTGATGATGATGTTGGAAACGCACCGACAGACATAAACAGCACCGGCCGCTTGTGCTCTCGTTCGCGGACCTTGCCGTGCATACGGGACGTATTCCTCGATGGTGAGGGTTTTTCTTGCCCATGAAATGTTCATAAGCAGGACCAGGTTAACTTGCCCCATTGAATTCCCGATCCACCAATCCACAGCCATATGCAGGTGAGGTAACGATTCTGACAGCCCGCATTCGATTGCCCAGTGGGGCCAGTCTCCTTCGTTTGGTCTCAGGATGCAATTCCTGTACGAGCTGTCGCCTTCTTTGGCCGATTCGGAAGTTGTGGATATCTTGAACGTTGCAGCACCCGTAGGCCAACGCTCATTTCGCTCAACACCCATGTTACTCAACATGGTTGCTGTGTCCTCCGCTATGCACCGATGGGCTCCCTCGTGTCGTTCCAGGGGGATCTTTATCAGGAGCGTTTCAATATCTTCATGGTAAGTGAACCTGACAGACGTCCCGAGCTGGTAGCGATGTTTTTCCAGGTAAACAAACGCACTTGGTCGTACGTGCTTGTAGGATAGAACCTGATTGACATCTCTGTCTTTCAGGCGAGCCCAAAGGGCCGAAACAAACGTACGAGGCGGGTTAAGTTCGGTCAATGCCAAGGTGGCTGACGCAGGCATTATAGTCGAAGACGACATGATGTTCGCAGATGGGCTTGATACGATGTCTGTTACTCCAGTAAGAGGAGTGGACTCCTCATCCTCGCGGTCTGTAATTGAACGGGATGACATCTTGCTTGAGCTTGGTTAATTAGTTAGCGGGTTTGGGAAAGCAAGCGCGAAGCAACTAGGAAATGCTGTACGTTACGAAGTGATGGGAGTGTGGAACAAGGGAAGGTCAGGTCGCAAGTGGAAGTTGAGGCGCGAAGTAAGATGAGGGTTGAAGTGAGGTCAGACATGTGAGGTGTGAGGTCAGAAGTGAGGCCAGAATAAGACATGTTGCAAAGAGCCACATTCACTGCCTCTACAGCGGTTTTGAAAAGAGCTACATTCACTACTTCTGCAGCATCCGCTGCCCTCCGCTTCTTCATCTAGTATTGTTTAAACAGGTCAGGTATATGACCTTCATCGTCTGTAAGAGGAAGGGGCGCCCGCTGCATCTTCCCCTGTCTACCAACTAAGTCATCGTCACCGACATCTTGTTTGGCACTGTCGTTAGCTGTGTGGCTTGCCACGTCCTTCACTCTGTTCTTTGCTGCATCATCTACTCTGTCATTTGCAGTGTTGTTGTAGCTGCCACCTCGCCTCCTACGCGTTTGGTACCTCGCCTCCTACGCGTTTGGTACCTCGTCCCCTCGTCTGCTACTCGTCTAAATTGTGCCTTTCGCCTCGTTCTGCCTGACAATCGATCACCCCAAAATCAAGTCAAAATTATCACTGCCAAGGTCAGTCCCGAAAGCTTACAGTATGCTTATGTCACTGGCCCTATTATACTCGTCTGGAGCGTCAAACCTATCATACTCGTATGAAGCGTCAAACATGGCTGCTCCAGCGCCACGGACAGTCACCGCCGCCGACCGAACCGCAATGGCTAAGGCGCTGAATACATACCAAGGGAACCTGCTTCACTATACCCCACCACCCGTTTAGTATAACGGCATGCTACCTGGGCCTGACATGCCCATGCAAGAAGGATCACCCGCTCTTGCTATTAAAAATCGCTGGGCTACGTATCAAGCAGTCTGGCCGATGGATGCTCCTCTTGGAGGGTGGGCAACCACGCCACTATCAAACACCCAACTGTGCGACGCCTGGGTGTATGTAATTATGCATGATACCAGCATTTCATCGAATACCCGCGGCCAACGGTGGAAACGTGATTTTACGGTCCACGGCGACATTCGCGCAAATCGTATCCCAAAGAGACCAACTGTGTGGATCGAAGATGGTGGCTAATACTATTACCCAGTTTATAAAGGCTTCTACGTTTTAGGCGGCGACGCAGCTCGTGTCAACCGTGAGTGGTTACTTAATTACAAAGATAAGCTGGCATAGCAAATGAAAGACCTCTTCTTTTGATTTCTATTTATCTTTGATCCCTTGTTAGATGTTAGATTTAGATCCGTTCGCTCCAGTACGGAGCAATAACGGCTTATCAGAAAACGGTATATCAGATCCGCCACGCCAAACAAGACATCATACTCACCCGGTCCAACAGGCTGTCTTCCAATCATTCTCTCCAACTCAAGGGAACCACCGGCGGCCCTTCCACAGCAGGTGGATTTACCTTCAAATCAACAACAGTCCTCGAAACAAGCTGCGGCATCCTACCTTCCGCAGCCCTAGCCCTTGTAACCGGACCACCACTATCTTGCCTAAGCTGCTGTGGAAAAGTACTTCTCAACCGTGAGTGTCCTCTCATGACTCGACACCACGAATACCAAAAACCAACAGTACCTGTCCCCCAGAGCATCCAATCCACCAATTCACATCTTGATGCAATCGGGATAGTGACTCTGACTCTGTTAGTCCACATTCAATAACCCAATTAGGCCAATTCATCTCATCAGTAGTTCTTAACAGCCCTTTCTTATGAGTGTAAACTGCCTCTTTCTGCGATCCCGTTGCCGACGTGTATATGACAGGATCAAACGGTTCCTCGCGCTCATCAAGATCGACTCCCATGATGTTCAGACTGACATTAGTATCTTAATTGAGAATCAGTCAGAGTCTTCTTGTCATGGGTGTTTGGACTTTGATGAGGACGGTGGAGATATCCGGGAAGTAGGTGAATCGGACGTGTATTTCTAGGTGGTGGCGGAATCGGCGGAGGGAGTGGAACGAGGCTGGGGTGATATTGTTGTAGGAGAGGTATTGGCTCGTGGTGTTGTCTGGGTGAGGGTAGATGTGGTCGTAGAGGGATAGGACGGCTCGTTTGCAGTTTTGAATTCCGCGATATGGACGGGGTGGGTATTGAGTAGTTAGGGCTAGGGTGGTGGACGTTTGGGAGAGAGGGGTGGGTGGACATTTTGATGATGCTGTTGGTAGTATGTGTTCAGCTGGATGGATGGAGCTTGGTGGTGCAGCATTCATTATAATGAGAAGTTCAGCTGGTAATCTGTTCTGGTAGCGAGATCATGGTGATATAACTTGTAGCAGTTAGTAGTACAGAATTTCGGGACTGCGGCCTACTACTTTGGGGGAAAGCCTGATACATAGACCACAACAATACTCCACATCTAGATCAACATCAATCAACCCTCCTAAAGATGGAACCCCCCCATCTCATTAACCTCACAAAATCTCCACAACCCAGCCTGCACCGCAGCCTCCCTCACCCCACTCCATTCCTCCTCCCTAACAGCACGATTAATCTCCTTATACCTCACCTCCCCATCCCCATCTCCATCTGCACCCTTCCCCCTCTTCCTCCTCCCCACATACGCATCGGGCCTATACTGCTCCATAACATGCACATACAAATCCCTCGAAACATTCTCCGCCAACCATCTTACAATCTCCCTCCCCTCATCCTCCAAGCCCGGCATTACCAAATGTCTCAACAACACCCCTTTCTTCGCAATCCCATCGGACGTGAAACTCAAATCCCCTACCTGCCGATGCATCTCCTTGATACTTTCTTTCGCGGTCTCGACATACTCCTCCGCTTTGAGGAGTCGCTTCGCGGTACTTGCCTTCCAGACTTTGAAGTCGGGGAGGTAGATATCCACTAATCCATCGAGTAGATGTAGTGAGTCGAGGGAGTCGAAGCTGGAGGTGTTGTATACGATGGGGATCTTCAATCCCATGTCTCTTGCATCAAGGATCGAGAGGACAACTTGTGGAACGACGTGTTCGGGCGTCACCAGATTGATGTTATGCACGTGTCCGACTGTTTGGAGCTTCATGTACCACTCTGCTAGCTCGGTGGGCGTGAGATCGTGTCCTGCTTTTTTGTGTGCTATATCCTATACATTTCCCATGATCAACACAACCCTCTCAATGCGCATCCTGTATCAAAGGGAGGGGAGGGGAAGCCTACATGATTCTGACAAAACACACACCGCATATTACAGCCAGAGAAAAACACACTCCCCGAGCCATGAAACCCCTGAATGCAGGGTTCTTCGCCGCGATGCGGGGCGATGGTATTCACTTTTGCGGTCTCGGCGCCGATCAGGCACATTCCCGTCTCGTGGAAACGGTTTACGCCGCAGCGGCGCGGACAGAGGTTGCAGTTCTGCAAGTGGGCGTAGGCCAGAGAGCGCTTTTTGGAGGCGTCGATGGAGGAGAGGAGTTGGTAGCGGGGGATGTAGTCGTCAAGGAGGTAGGCCGGGGGGATGCCGAGGTGGCGTTTTGGGGTATATCTATAGGTACTTATGGGTGGGGGTCGCAGGAAAGAAGAGGGGTGGATATGGCGGAGGGAGCGTGTTATTGAGGTCATGTTTAAGGGATTACTATGGTATTGTCATTGCGGTGGTTCAGGTGATTGTTTGTATGAAGGTTTTGGTGCTCTCCGATGCATGCTTATCGGCAGCTTATCTCAGCCATGGCGTCATACCTCGGCTGTTGCACAACGAATCATTGGAAAGCAATTAGATTGACCAGGTATCAAAGTATCAGTATCAGTATCAAAATCAGCATCACGCATAGTGTACATGTCACGAATATCCACATATATCACCAAGTATATGTACGAATCCATATCAACACGAAGTAAGCATATCTTCCATCGCCATGCCATCCCCTTGACAATGAAGCCAGCATAAGCCCGGAGTAGATAGCAAATCCAATAGTATCAGATAGAATGTAAGAAGCCATTGACCGGTCAATGCGCGCCATAAATCACATATCATCGTCAGCTGTATCACCGCGCTACAGTGCCAGCCCACTGCCGTCGCCGCTCCAGCGGTATAGCGCAAGCACTTCGCGTCGGCGCTGCTGCTGCTCCCCAAAGTCCTCCGGGATGCGTCCTCGAACCTGCGCCAGCGCCGATCGCATGACCTTGCGGAATGTTCGCTATATGGCATTAGTTGTCAATACTAATAAGGGAATAAACAAAAGACCTACCTGGTACTCTGTGTTCAAGGTCACGACGCACGCCTCATGCGCCCGCACGATCGTCTCGCATGCCCGCACAACACTTGGACTGGCATCGCCCTGCAGCTTGTCCGCCGCCAGTAGCAGCAAGAAGCTACCTTGTAGCAGGTAAATCCCGAAGAAGAACGGCATGAAGCTGAGATCTGGATCATGCTCCAAAATTTCTGCTGCTGCTTCCGCCGCACCGACCGCGTGGCTCATGGCCGACACAAACGACTCCGACGAGATCCACAGATCATGGTCTTCCAACAAGTTGACTGGGTCCCACTTGCCCGCGAGCAGAATATGCAGGACATGCATGATATGCGTCCCGTAGGCGACGACCATCCTCGTGTGCATGATGGACCCGCTCACCCGTGATCCCACAGTGCTACTGGAACGGCCTGAAGGACTCGTGTGGTCCAAATGGGCACCTTCCACGACAGGTTCATTATCCGCAGTCCCCAGAGTCAGGTTGCTGGTGTAGCGCGCCTCAAACTCTTTCAAGCTGCGCCCGTATGTGTCCAGCTGCCGCGTAACGTCCTGGACCTGACGCTCCCATTCCGGACTATTGCGAAACGCCAGGCCAAAGCGTGGATGGTTCTCGGCGTGGTGCAGATCGACGATCCCTCCGAGAATCGTCATCAGCGGCAGGAAGTATCCATACATGCTGTGACCCGTGCACTCAACGGGTGGTCCGACCTGGCGGTAGGCAGCCGCCGCAAAGTCGCCGACCTGCCACAGATCGTCGTTCATCGGCTGCAGCAGCCCGCCACATTCCTTGTCCAGCAGCGTGAGGGGGCGGTTGTAGCACAGCGCCAGGTGCCGATCCGTCGCATATAAGAGCCACCACAGGCGCCGGCGCTCTTCCCGCTCCTCTTCGGTGACATTGATGCCGGAGCTTCCCGGTCCATGGCCTAGCGATGTAATAAGGGTTGGAGGATGCCGCCTATCCGCCTCGCCATCCCCATCTCGCTCTCCATCTTGTCGTGCGTGAGAGACGTTGGGTGGCAGCTCACGGCCTAGCTTCAGCTCGCGCGCTAAAGACCACGCCGCAGTCCACCAACGCATGCTGGCCGCCTTGTACTCGCTGGCGGACACTACCGTCGCAAGATGCACATAGGTCGCCACATCATCCACGGCCCCGGTGGCGCTACTTTGCGCGCCCAGCTGATCCATGGAAACTCCGAATCCGCCCAGAGCGACGCCATTAATAACCATGTTCGCCGCATAGTTGGGGGATGCTTCGCCGGTAGTAGGGCCATGGACCAACGGTCGGAGCAAACCGATCGTCAATTCCAGCAGTTTCTGGCATACACGGCCCCGAGCCGAGGGCGGCGATGTCAAGAAAGGAGCTTCACTGGTCTGCGCGGCTACCCAGAGCATACTCGCCAGGAGACCGGGACCACATATTCGGGGTTTCGTCGGGTGGAGGAAGGACTGTTTGCGGAATATATAGCCCACCACATATGGGGACGACGGAGACAGATGGGACGGGGAGGAACTATGGAAGTAAACATCCAAAAGGTCACACGCTAGTGACTGCGGAATAATGGAGGCGATGTGTGGCAGAACCGGCTGCAAAACAGGGTATCGTAAAGTGCTGGAAAACGGATGCAGGCTGAAAGAAGGAAAGTTGGCAGGAGATGGCGAAGGAAGAGGGAGCCATCCAGGCGATTGCCCTGGAGGCGAAAGACCGAGGAACGGTGCGGTTGGGTTTTCCGCTGAGCTTCCCAAGCGAAACTGGTTAGCTGGTGAGCCCGGTTCCTGTGGATTGACTAGAGCGAATGCGCTCGCGTTGTACCCGGAACTCAGTCCTTGAGGTGGTAAGACGGACGGGGGTAACGATCGAAGGTCGGACATGGACATCGCCGGGCGACCGGAATCATTCAGCGTGTTAAAATGGCTTAGATGCATCGCATCGATGGTCGTTCCTAGCGATGGCTGCGAATGCGACGGCGCCGTCTGGGAGTCATGCAGACCGGATATACCGGCATTGTTCGCATGCTGCATATGCGAGGGCTGCGAGCTGATATGGTGGCTCTCAAAGGTTGAGTCGTATCGGCCGTTGACGTCTTGCGCTGGCCGGCTGTCTTCAGACGTCCGCTCAGCCATCAGCGACGCGTTGGCCTGCCCTGAATGACCATTTGGCCCATGAGTGGCCGCCGCCGCTGCCGCTGCCAGGTCCTTCTTCGACGCTTTGCCGCGCTTCTTGCGTTCTCGCGCATACTCGCAGGTCAATCCAAATTCTGCAGCACGTCAGTCAAGCGCCCAGCCTGTCGCCGGCATCGGAGAAAAGAGCGGAAGCCTACCAATGCAATGAGCGCACGGATGCTGCCCGTCGCATTTCGTTCGGAGTTGGTTACACTGGTCACACGCACGGCTGATTCGGCGGCGGACTGGAGCCGACGAGGAGTTTTTGCGAATGGTAGAGCGAGCCTCAACGAGGGGATCCCTTTGCAGAGTGTTCTTGAAACCGGAACCAGCGCTCTGGTTTCTCTCGTCGTCGAAAAGTGGTTGATCTTTCGCATGCGACATGGAATTTCGCAAGGAAGTGGAGGTGGCGCCGTCGCCGGCACCAGTTCCCGCGGCGTCTCGCGACAGCTGCAATTGTTCCAGGACGTACTGCGAGCCCTCGGCAAGCGTATCCAACCCGACAGTCTGAGACGGCGCCATCCCCGTCGACTGCGATCCGGAAGAGAAAGGAGAGAATGGACTGGGAAATTGAGGAATCGAGGGGGTTGACATCCTCACCGGGCGGAACAGTCAACCCAGCGGGTCATGAAGACCCCGGTCGTCGGGGTATGAGGTAGTCAGACCGCTGGCGAATGGAAGGGCCGTAAGGCCCCAAGCGTGAAAGGGCACTACGCTAGCGGGAGAGGAGATTAAGGCGACACTTGGAGCGACGGACCCTGAACGAAAGGCAGACGATTCACGACCAGGAGGGCAGGCAGGAGGGAAAGACGAGGAAGCAGAGAAGCGGTCGCAAGGAAAGTAAGAAGCGATCAACTCCACGGCATTGCCGATTCAGTCTGCGGGGCAACTAAAACACGGACTAAAAAACAGGGACCTAGAAGGCAGCAGCAGAAGAGGAGAGTG